AACGCCATTTGTAGTCTAATATGAAGGGCACTTTTTGCTAAAATCCAGACAAAGCAATGCAGAGCAATCACGACTCTTTCCAGCGAGGTAAGAGTGGAACATGAATCCTCCCTGTCCGGAAGACAGTACCCATAGTCGCGATGCGTCCAGAAATGCCAAACTTTACCAAAAGGCCATCATACTGGCAAACACAATCCAACCAATTCGAAGAGGAATAAGTTTTCGATACTTCTGCCTGGTACTTAAGTCCATTAACAGTACTATATGCTAACATGGTGACCTCATAAAAATCTGCGTATTTTACAGGTCTCCAAGATTTACAGGCCATCACAGGACGCCTGGCTAATGGATAGTTAAAAGGGGGTAAAAATGCCGGATCCTCTACTAACCTTCGTGAGCATACTTTTCCCCAATAATAATAAAAAATAAGTGATTGGTCTATTCATCCACAGTAGGCTTGGCCATTAGGTAAATGAGACAGTTTCAAACCAACTCAGGCATTCGCATTGATTTCGGTTGCATCAAGCTGAAATACCGACTAGTAAACAGGACAAAATGGACAACTTTGCCGCTTATCAAACGTACATGATGGTAAAAGCTCCTCAGAGTGACCTGGAAACAGGCTATTATGCAGAACATAAAAGAGACCTTTCCTGCCTGAGAAAAGACGACTGACCCTGCCAAGGTAACTCCCTAAAGCCTACCTGACTGCCAGCTTCGGTAATGGCAGTGGGTACCGCAGCGGACAAATGGGGTGGAAAGAGGACACTGCTGCTGCCAATTGAGTGGATAGCGGCGGCAATATCCGGTGAGAGAGAGTTAAGGTAATCGCGCAGAAAGTAGCGACTCTCGATCCACTGCACCACGAATGCAACTATATCCGGTGCCTTTGTGATAGCAGCGGTAGCAGTGACAGTGGTGAGAGAAAGTGGCCTGTCAAAGATGAGGCTCACTTCACCCGGCTTGAGCTGACTTAGCACACGAGGTTCGCCGGGGATTGGTGGAAGTTCTAAAGAGTAAGAAAGATACGACTTGCCTAGTCTTCCCTTCCTCTTTTTAATAAATATTGAATGGCAAAATTTCCGATTCTCATGTCTTTTTACGGAGTAGACAAACGACCAAAAGAGCTCCAGTTTTGGGAATTTGAGTCATCCAAATGACAAATTAGCACTGCTTTTAGGCAATTTTCAAGAAAAATAAAGAGCCAAAACTGCACTCATTTGTGAGAGACAATGTGGATAACCGATAAGCAAAAAAATGAAGTGATTTACTGCGTCTCGCAGAGTAAATGCCAAATTGCTGCACCGCATTTTGTGGTTCATCGAAGTGAGTAAGAAACGGCTCTCACAGCAGATTGTAATCAGCGCGAAGAGGCCATGGCAAGGAAAAGGAGGAAGGCTGAAGACAGCCGTTAACGTTAAGGAATATGGCTCTATGACTTGAAGGCACTCTCAACTCCCACCAGATTAAAATGAAGTGAGATGATAGAGTTATGGAGCACATGAAGTTGGAAAATCTAATTGCAAAACAATTTTTAAAGGCAAAATAAAGAAGAAGATTGGTTTTAGATGATAAAACGTCTTATCCGTTGCTTTTGACCTCCAATCGCCTATAGAGAGGTGAATCAGCAAGTGCTAAAGTAAAAAATTTTTAAATTAGTTCCCACCGACGTATGGACGAAAATGCACCGTTTTCGCTAGAAAATAAATTTAATATAAAACATTACTGGATGAAGACAAATAACCAACTTTTGGTATTTGCGGAGCATATCGCCGAGCCTAGTTGCCTCAATACAGAGATTGACATCTACTGCATCATATTCTGTCCCTTTCACTTTATTTTGCGATTTACCAAGACAAGAAAGAGTAATTAATCACCTTTTTGCTTAGCTTTTTTTTGAGAAAACAAAAGTAAAGGACATAAGCAGCCTTGAGAAGCCAATCACTGCAACTTGACTAGAAACATCCCAGCACATTTTAGGCGCATATGCCTACAATTGCATGCAATTCAGTGACAATTTTACGTGTCATCATCTTGAAAGTCAAAAAAGAAAGAAAAACTTTTTGCACGAACTAAAATGATTGTTTTCGCATCTGACACACTGTGGGGCAACTGTCACGCATTCCTTGGCATGATACAATCA